TTCATGAGCCTTGTCATTTTATCATGCTGCTTCCTCCGCATCTCAGCATTATCATCAGTGCTTTCCTACTAATGGCACACACAGCCAGTCCATCAATCCATGCTCAGCAGAGGCTGGCTCTGAGAAACCAGGTACAAGACAGTGGGGGTTGGGGAAGTGGGAGTGGCGAGATGTCCTTGTTCAGGGGAAACCACATATACACATTCTCCAAAACCTTTGGCACTCAGCAGTCTTGGGAGCAGATTGCATAGCACAACTGTTAAGTCCGCTGCAAATCATGTCACACCACAACAGAGATAAATGATGCGACTTAAGAACCAATGAGGCTGCAAGTTCATCCTCCCCAAGAGAAAGCAAATCCAGAGGGAGCGGTGCTACCTGCGTCAACAGTACAAGGACTCATGGGAAGTCCATGGGAAGGGTCTGCACTACAGCAGGCGAAATAACAGGGGCTAGTATAGTTTCTACACTTCAACATCTGAAGTACTCAGTTCCCCTTGTTGAGCTGATGAAAAGACAGATTGTGTGATTGCAAACTTATCTGTGTCTGCTTCATTATCACTTCAAGTCAAAGAAGGTGGCAAATGTGCATATAAAAATTATTAGAGCAGGGTTGAGGGGGTCATTGTGAAGTTAATCCTCACTGATTAAAACAAATCAGGCAATGAAATCTTTCAAAATGAGCTGTCAAAATGCATCGTTTGATTTATGAGATGCGCATCATGGTTTAATCAGTTTACACAAGTGGAAGAGCCAACCTCTTCCATTCTACAACACAAAGTAATATTACATCCATTTAGTGCAGGGGGTCACGTCAAGATATGTGACAAAGCATGGGAATATTGCATTAAAGGTCAAAAGCAATTTGAATTCCTGTGACATGATTCAGACTGCTTAGCCTGTTCAGAATTATCTATCAAAAACAAAAACCATCACTGTACACTGACACTTCAGTGGGTAACACTGATTGTGAGACATGTTGACATAATGTTGATACACTCACTGCCAAACACAGTTCAGACTGACAAACATATGCTACAGCAGTTCACATATACGATGGGACAGAGCAAGGTAGACTGCAGACTGTACATACATATCACTTTTTATACAACTGTCTGTGGCGTGTGTACACTGTGTAAAGTAAAGCAATTTAATACTTCTCACATTACACCCTTAAAACTGACTGAATCAGCACCTCCTTAATGCAGACTCGACAGAAACTGAACATTATGAACATTTCTTGCAGTGCTATTTCACAGATTGCATAACATCATATAGGTATTGCTGTATGTGTCCACTTTCTGTGTATTAAAGCAGCCTGGTAATCATCATGACTTCATCATGGACACAGTAAGTAAAAACAAAGTATAGGAAGTGCCTCCAGTTAATGTATTTGTTCAGGTTTCTTATTGGAAGTTAGAAATACAATGCATTAAATAGATTAAGATGCATTTTTGGTAATTGTTTTTGAATTTATGTAATAATGATTTACCTAGAAAAATAATCAACCATATGAGCCCTACAACTGCAAGATTATATTCCACTTTATCACAACAGTCAATTAAACTGAAGACAACCATCTTTCTGTAATTCCTACAGTAAAAGCACCTTCTGCATGCTCATAGTGCACTATTCTTCACTTTCCCCTATGCATTAAGGGCGTTTACTTGCAGAGTCAAAAAGAAAAAAACAACACATATTTTCACTCATCACCACAATGACAGGAAAACGACAGACACACACACTGTGCCTGCAGCGCAGTTTCATTTTTCTGTATTTGACCAAAGTGGAGAGTCTCGCCACTAACGATAGTTAACACACAGACATCAGGCATGCCTGATTAAAATGCAGTTACCATGGGAACCCTAGCCTAACATCGTCTGTCAAGCATGTCAAAATAAGATAAAGAAAAAGAAAAAAAAGCCTGAAGGCATTATTTTTCTAGTTGACACATATACGCTCGTAAGTGAGAAGAGGTGAACAATCACATGACACTGTATTGAGGAACGTGACAGTTCATGTAGAGGTTGGTACGCTGAAGTGACATGTTGGAGACAGTGATGGTGGGTGGAAGAGGGCAACCAACACTTTCAAGTACAGTAGGATTTCAGCTTCTAGTCGACATTAAAATGGTTTGCCATGAAGACATAAGGTCAGAGAAACAAGATGTAGATCTGTGGTATCTGTGTCATGTCATAAGCATGTTAGTCGTACACCCTTTTGGGAGGACTATTTGTTGCTCACAAATCTGGCCAGACTATTAAAATACAATGTGCAATACGTGATATATGATATCACTGTCACAAGTAAAAATGGTCTTTTATGAGAGAGATCATTCTTATGACCTTTACTACACTGTTAATTATCACAATGTAGTCTCAGTTCAGGATATGTAATGTAAAATTATGAAATTATGTCAAGTCCTCATAAGAGTCTTTACTGATATTATAAAAATCAGTCAGTTTTACAACAGCCACATAAAGTACTGAGCACGGATGACGCCAAGTAATTAGTAAGTAGTGAAATATTCCAATGTATTTTCTTTCAAACCATTTTTTCCAATGGGAGTCTATGGGAGAATGTCCTACACATCCTTGAGCTTCAAATACTTTATTCATTTCCTTTAGTCATTCAAAGCCTTCAGTTTTGTTTTCAATCCAAGGCAAACTTAATACATTTGTATGTTCTCAAGTTCTAGGTTTTAGCTATCAGCAATCACACTCGTTTTCTCCAGATCTGCAATCGTTTATTTGAACACTGTCAGTCTCACCTTACAATTGCATTTGATTTGTGGTTTGATGAAGGCAATAGAATATACCTTTCTCAAACTGTGTTATCAGTCATAAGTTTAATATGATGTAAGATCGCCAGAAAATGGGACGTCTTGCTGAGTTCGGCATTGTAACCTACAACACATCATTTGTGATGATAATGCAGAAAGTGACAGTTTATTACGTGCTGTTATCTTTAATATGCCTTTGAAAGCTCCTCTCACTTCTAAGCGACGTGAGTTTATCTTGTGGAGAATTCCAATTTGGCTGTGAACAGACCACTGGCCCCGCTTCAATGAGCTATTACAAATCGATCACAGGATGACTTGAAATAGGACTCGGAGGAGAATTGTAAGTGTGCTACCATAAACAAGCATGCATGCTGAATTTAAGTGCATAGAAACACACACACAGTGTTGTAGCTGTACAACACATGACCTAACCTTTACCCTTATGAAGTTTGCATTGGTGACAGATTGCACAGAGGTTATACATTGCCTGGAAAACAAATGGGAGTCATCGTCATGAGTAAATCTGCCATATAACCTTGCTAGTCCCTCCCTGTTTTAAGTGAAGAGTTTGCTTGATTGTCTGTTACCTGTCATAGATAAGAGCAAATTGCTCTGTGGGAAATGTAGCATGCAATGCCATTACTGTATAACCTGCAGTGAAACTCCTTGAACCACCTTGACAACAGCCTAGAAAACAGGTATAACATGCATCCACACAAAGAGGCTTCACCCTTTAATGTGAACCAGCAAAAGGGGTGTGACAGAAGAGCTCCACACTGCTTATAGTTTCACCAGGGAGACTGAAAATGGAGCAAGTGAAAGAAAGGAAAATGAGACTAGAGGATGCATGGAGGGACAGAGGCACGGATGGACAGATGGATGGATTTTAGGTCTAATTCCCCCCCCCCTGGCTCTGCCCCCGCAAATTTAGAGTCTGGGAGTCACAGTAGCCTGTGGCGTGGCTGCATAGGAGCCAGATACACATTGTGAGTAGGATGATGGTGAACAGAAGGATGCATTGCTGATAATGGTAACTTTTACAGTCCGACTCCGGGGGTGTTGAAATAAAACTTGCTTAATGGTGCAATTATGTAGACTTTTCTTACATGGCACTTTATTTGTTAGTAGACTCTCTTTGTCATTTCATCCTTTGTTGCACTGTCACTGTAGTAGCTGTGTCATTTGTTATAGTTTTGTGTTTCTTGCACATTGCTGCAGAAGTCTAATCAGAAATTACATTTTTGTTTATAGTTTGCACAACACAATATCTAATTTTAATTCAATTTGTCTGTAATGTTAAGAATATATTCTCCAGTATGTAGGACAGATGACTATCCTGCATTTTGAGAACAGAATTCATATGAGAAATACATCCTAAAGTGACTCATTATTTTGTTATTGTGGTTTCCAGCTGCAGCTTTTAAAATTGAGGAAATGTCAAACCCATTGCAGAGAAAATAACACATTTATTTTAAAATGACAGTATATCCCAAGGAAAACAGTCTGATCAGTTTGATTAAGGCCAGTTTGCTCTTTTTCTTTATCTACTTAAATAAATGTAAAGGGTTTTTAAATGCTACCCCAGTGTCAGGATATTTCCAGTTTAATAGCCCACTTTCTCACAGTGCAATTCACACATTTGAGGAGACCTTCCGATTGTATGAGTCGCCCACGCCTGCCCCCTCTGCCACACCCGCGACAATACACTCCGTCTCCAATTAGCTCATTATCTTGAGCATCAGCTGTCAGCCTATAGCTCCACATAGGGAAATCACAATCCTTATGCACACTGGCATGTCCAAGAATAAATGTGAGCAATTGTAGGTGGGCTGGATGCGTACAGATCAGGCGCTATGTGATTCAGTAAGACGATAAGAAAAAAGGTGCACCTGCTGACTCTCTCTGCCTACCGGGCCTTGATATGCCTGAAAGAAAGGATGCCCTGATTCTGTGCAGCTCATTAAAACAGCCTGCCGACCATATTGGTCGGATTAAAGCTCTGTGGCAACACCCTCTCCATCCGTCCATGACACTTGAAGCACAAAGCGGTTTCTTCGCAGAGCATGCAGTGCGCGGTTTTGTGCAAAAGCTTGCTACCGGTATGAAGATGCTTCCCGCTCCATCCCTACAATGTCATTTCATAACAACCGGCAAATGCAGCATGCACCTGTTCCGCTGTCATCAGCGCCGTGTCAGACAAACAAATAAAAACGCATACCTGTCCTGTCAGGTCCGGGTGTCAAGCTTCGGTCCGGATCCTGATCATTGAGATTGCAGGAAACTGGAAGACGGACGCCGCCACCGCCCCAGATGCGCCTTTTCTCTGCCGCGGGAGATGTAGCCCTGCAGGCTGGGACAGCAGACAGGCACAAGCCGGCAGGGATGGCTTATGGTCGGGGAAGGGCTAGGAGGAGAGTAGAGGGGCGTTTTCACGGTGTAAGCGAGGGAACTCCTAACGTCGTGCGTGATAGCGAGGACAGCTCCGCTTATGACACGCAGCGTTTCCGACCACTTGCTTTACTGGTTTTCGGGTCATCTTTTCCCACTACAAAGCACGGTGTTTACGGCTTTTGGATGTTCGACTGCCAATAAGATGCTTTACATAGTGCTACAGCCAGTCATTTAAAAACCCACTTGTAATTAAGCCTATTGTATCCTAATTTCTTTAAGACATCATTTGAGAAATTGAATATATGTAAGAATAAATATCATCCTCTGAATTTCTGCATTAGATGATTAATTCTCAATTAAATTTTCTAATTCAAGTACCCCATCTTCTTATTTATTTATTTATTTATTTATTAGTTTATTTAACAGGAGCAGAGCACATTAATAAACACTGCTGTAAAGAAGTTTTTTCATCTATAGTCCCCTGGACAGATGCTATATTAAAATGAAGAGGGGAATACACCTGCTGAGCAGCTGCTTTAGAGCTTTTGGCAACATACAATGCTGCAGCCTATCTGTGTGTGACTTTCCACAAATGTAATTTATGCACCTGTCAGATACTAGAAGTCCAAATGCAATGTGTTCTTTGCAAACTGCAAATCTTGACTTTGCACAAAACTAATGAAAAGTGTTATTGACAGTTGTTGACGTAAGGATTTAGGCCCCGAAGGCCAAGGAGGTGTGAAATTCAACTATTGTTTTGCTTTGATCATTAATGAGAAAAAGACAAGGGTGCACATTCTAACATGTGAGGTCAGTTATGGTATTTAACAATAAATGTTAACTTACTGTTTTATTGTGCTAGGAAAGAGCTTACTGAGCACACTTATACTTCAAGATTTACCCTCTGACGTATATAACATTCAGAGGCATGTAAAAGCCAATGTTTAACTCACAGCGTGAAGTAGACATTGTTACACTGTTCCCTGCATGCAGTGTGTTGAATGGATGAAGGCTAAGTGGGGGATGTATTGCATTGGTGACTCACAGGAACTTTCTGTGCTGAACGCCCTCTCTGGCTTTCATGCACAAGTGTTCTGTTCAAATGCAAATATGCATACAGGAAAATCAATTCCTGTCACGCTTCAGTGGGTCTCCTTCAGTTGCTTACAGGATATGCGAAAATGAGCAGCAGCGGAATGACTTCATTGCCATATGGGCAGGATTTCTGGAGCATAAACTAATGCTATATACCATAAATAGGATATATCTTAATTTATAATCTATGTAGTGAATGAGGTAAAATATTGAATACACTTAATATATGACCAGATGCTCATATTAAAATCATTAAGGATATCAATATCACATTTTCTTGTTAATGGAAGAAGCTTAAGTCACTCCAAGTAGTTGTGAAGAGATTTCTCCACATGGTGGCGGTCATATACCATAATCACACTTGTCACAACCACGAGGAGTATCTTCTATAGCCTGTAAACGTAAAGCACATATGTGTTTTCAGTCAGCTTCCTAAAAGCATTACATTTTCTTTGCTTTATATGTAAAGTGCACATATTTGTATTACTTTCAGCACATGAGAAGAAACCATGACTTCCGTACATGAATTATGGCGTTCGAAGCTGTCTCACATATAAAAATTTATCATTTTTGCAGTTATTACTCTGCACGCTGAGACTGAGAAGGGCCATAAATCTCTTTACTACTGCACTAAATACCTTACATTATTTATGTTGCCATATGGTTGTATTTCCTTGAGGCAGATACAGAAATTAAATATTTCTCTGGGAAGGATAAGAATGAGACTGAAATCATGTCATTGCCATGTCCCCTTACACATGATTTATATTTGTTGCATTGTTAAAGAGAATTCCACACCTCTTTCCCGCAAGGCAAAGAGCTACATGACTTCTCTAAAGAAAAGTAGCTGGATTTCATTTTAAGACATTTTTAACTTACACAAGTTGTTTTGACCTGAAATTAAGATTTGAACGAATATACTAGCTTATTAAATATTAAAATGCATTGTAAAATGCATAAATTAAGCAAATGAGAATCAAGGAGAAACTAAACAGGTCACATCATCGAAGGGGTGCCACCCGGCCTAGGTTTCACCAGAAGGCACTGATTACAAACCACCCCAACACCTAACTACCAATCAACACACACACAGACACTGCTGACTAACAGCAGGGTACATCACGCAATAGAACAATGGCCCACATCCCAACAGCACAACTGTGCTTTGAATGTCCAGTTGCAAGTGGTGAATCAAAGCATGTCTCTGTGTCAAATAATACCAGGGTGCGAACTACAGGGGAGCCAGGAGTGAGCTTGGCTCCTCTCAAGAAGACATGAGCTCCCCTGAAAATCTGATTTGTGAAATTTTGGGGGGGGTTTCTATATGCTGTTTCTATCATTTCTATTTTTCTGTATGTTCATCGTCATGGATCATCTGTAAAATTAGGCGGTTATTGATGTATGATTCATGCATGAGGGTGATTCATCATTAATTCACTTCACAAGATTCTTGCCATCATCACCATCAAAGTGTGGTTGTGTAGTATCATAAACTTTACTTCATTAAACTCAAAGATCAGAAAAAACTCATGCAGTCTAGGCGCCAAATTTCCATTATTCCCTCAAAATCAATGAAAACCACATTTAGTGGCATCTAGCAGTGTTGTTGCCGATAGGAGAAACTACTACGAATGGTCCTTTCTACAGCCAGTGTTTGGTTTGTCTGTTTCAGGCTACTGTAGAAACGTGGCTGTTCAATACAACCTCCATAGAAGGCGACCTGTGGCGTATAAAAGGCTCATTCTAAAGTCACAAAAACATGATGATTCTTATTTTCAGGTGGTTATGTACTGATGAAAACATACCTATGAATATTATATTCCATTTCTGCCAAATAGATCCTCTTAAACGTTACTCACTGGGACTTTAAAGTGGAAGTTATAAATGCTTACTGGTGGAAAACCGCAGCAAGCTCCTGCCTGTTTGGATCACTTGTTGTGTTTCTGCTTACATGCTGTTCTGTTAGTTTGTCAACTTCTCATTTACGAGATAAGATGCAGATGGAGTTCCCTGAATGTTATTCTAGCTTTTAACTTTGCTTTCATCAGCTCTTTCTTACCCAGTTAAGTGCAGCATAACAACCGACTACTGAACAATGAACAAAAAGAAGCCCTCGACTACTTGTCTTTCTTTGTGATTGACAGCTTTGGACGGTCAGACACTCCACCAGGCTTATTACATAAAGGGTCAAGGATCCCATACAAATGTGACAGTTACTGATAAAGTTGGGGTCAAAGGCCTGCGGGATTAGGTAATGGGGACAGACAGGGTAAACAAACACATTACTCTGGATGTTTTTTTCTTAACCGACAATGAGGAAATTGAATTCACAGGGCTGATTGTGACTTAAGTGGACACAAATACAGATTGTGATATGAGGACATGTCACCAGCTTGTGTGTGTGTGCACTGTAATGTTGGTATAATCGGGTCATAGAGTGTTGTCAGATGTCTTGTCAGTGAAAGACAAACATGCACACACACTGTACACACACACTTGTTTTCTTTCTCCCAAATATGCTGCCCGTCATGTACTTTGTGACACTGGAGAATGTTCTCACTTAAAGACCACCAACCTGCTAACTTCATCTGACTGCCGCCATCTCTGAATTTAGGCCGAGCCATACACACAGAGAGCATCTTGACTGCTTCGTATGGCCATACATTCAAATGTATTTAACATCTGGATCTCAGTGTTGTGGTCCTTATGTGTGCTGAAGTACATTTTGAAATCACATTGTACTGTACGTAGCTTCCTGGAACATGTGGTCTGTAAAACTGGAAGCCATCTGTTCTCAAGAATGTCTGCCGTTAACCATGAACTGAACTTAAAGGGTGAAAACAGTAAGTATTTGTATTCATTGATTAAAGGATGAATAAAGTAATAAAGTCAAAGATTATAAGATATTTATATAAATGTTTGTTAAATCACTTTTTCTTGCCAAATGAGGTAACACCAAGGGGCCCACTTATGAAAGTATTGCAATATTTATATATTTGCGGTAATACAAACTGGGTGTCAGACTGCAATATATGCTGTAATATTATGTTGTTTTCATTAGTGTATTATCGCCTGAAATAAAGAATCATTATGTGTTACGCGTTGAACCGCCTTGTTTCTACAGTACAGGACAAACCACACACTGGCTCTAGATAGGGCACATTTCACAACCACCGTAGTTTATCCCTCATGCTTGGAAGGGGATGATGAAGCAAGGGAGCTGCAATCTGCAACTACACTGCTCGATGCATTTAACACTGGTCCTTTAAGTTACAGCTAATGCCAACCAAACATTTATTTCAGGAAGTTCACATTAAAAGACTTCAACTGCCAAAACACTGAGCTGACACTGGGTGTTTGAACACTATCATTCATAAAATGCACCTACAAAAAACGGTTATTTCAGCATTTTTTGACAGCGGATCACTTTATATTGCAGTTAGTAATGGAACAAGAGGAGCAGTCACAGTAAGTTGTTAGATGAAGACAGGGGACAGACTTGTGAGGTAGCAGCTTCTTTCACGGTGCCCCGCTGTGCCTGACTTTGTTATTAAAATGCCAATAGTTTGTTTGGCTGCTCTGTCAGCAAATACACTATTGATCTTATGTTGTAGTTATTTTTGACAAAGGAGCTGTTCGAGGAGTGTTTTGCTGCCTGCACTTGCTGTTACCACCAGTAACCAAGTTCTGCCAAATCAACCAGGACTAACTTCCCACCAAGGCAAGTATTAAGACATATATACAAATACTACGCTTGGACCAATAATGTGTGTCTGATGTGTTTTTCTACATTATTCAGTAAAGCTCTTGAATGATAGGGATCTGGTAACAGGATTCTGTTAAACAAACTGTGCACAGATTTGTCAAAAAAGTGAAATATTACAAATTCCCACTGCTTCATGTAAACTTGGGACAGTCCTTAAACTCAAAAGCAGTGAGTTGATACTTACATACTTTGGCTATGTGCACAAACAGTGAAAGATGAATAGCTTTATGATCGTTGAGTTAGTTGGTGAA